TTTAGTTGTTGATGGACCTCTATTTTATTTATTTATTTTTTAGTATTTATTTTTTAGTTGTAGTTGAACATAATACCTTTATTTTATTTATTTATTTTTATGTGGTGCTGAGGATCAAACCCAGGGCCTCACACGTACTAGGCAAGTACTCTACCACTGAGCTACAACCCTAGCCCACAGATTTTAATTTCTTAGCAAGTAAATATCCATCTTCATAACCCACTGACACAAAAAGCTTCCATACTCTTTTCTTATACTTCTTATGAAAGTCAAAAATGTCCTGGAGGTCAAAAAGTGAGATGCCCACTGGCAGTTATGTTCAATTGTGACTGCACCATTTCTTGTCCTGACTACCCATTTTAAGGGAATTTCAAGCATCAGTTATATAAGAGGCTGACTGTGGTGGGTTTTTGTCCACAAGTACAGAAAGTTTTTGGTGGTAGTCTGTTGGACTCCCAGATAGTACCTTTGGTGGTTTGTGACGGGTGGTTGTGGTCTTTTGAGAGAGAGAGAGGGGGGGGGATATATATATATATATAAAATATGTATATAAAATATATATATAAAATATGTATATATATATATATAAAATATATATATATTTTTTTTTTTTTTGGTAATTTTTTGTTTATTTTTTGACTTGGTTTTGTTTTGTTTCAGCTAGTTGGTGTTCCTGTTTGGGATGTGTAGTGAGAGCAGTCAGAGTAGTGTAGTACTACCGGGATCCAGCTCCTGCTATAAGACCACCTTCATGGACCATTATCAGGTCCTGATGGACATCAGGCAGGGTGGCTTTGCCCAAATGAAACTAGTCCACCACCTCCTCACCAGGACAGAGGTGATGGTGAAAGTTCTGCCAAAGTTAGAGCAAAACATCCCATCCAAACTATATATGCTGATGGCCATGGAACGCCGAAGTGTGATCCAACTCTTTCAGATCATTGAGACCATTGAAAATATCCAGCTATGGCATACAGCTATGGCATACACCTCATCCTGGATGTTGATGGCATGCAGGAGGAGGCCAAGAGACCATTCAGGCAGATTGTGAGTGAGATTGAGAAGGGCATTGAGCACCTAGATCTGAATGCAGAGAACATGCTGGTGGGTGCCAGAGGCAACAGCAAACTCTTGAACTTCAGCCTGAGCACCAGATTCATGACGGGGCAGAAGCTGAACAAGTTCTGGGTCACTCTGTAATACCTTGCCGCTGAAGTCATCTAGAGGAAAAAAATATGGGGGCCCCCTGGTGGACATCTGGAGCCTGGGTGTCTTTTGTAGTTGATGGTACCAGCAATGTGCCCATTTATGTATGGAGCTACTGCTAAGCAGCTGAAGGAAGTAATCATGCATGTAAGGTGCACCATTCCCCAGCATATTTCCACAGGAGCATGGAGCCTTGTCAACAAATACTAACAGTGGACTCCATGCAGAGGCCCACTGTAGAGCAAATAACGGGGCACCCATGACTGAGCCAGGGTGAAGAATATTCACCCAGTCGTTCTAGTGAACCAATCTCCTAACACCCAGACTCTGCAATTGTAATAATCAGGTTTGACATGGATTATGACCCATAAAATACCTGAGTGTCCCTGGCAAATTGAAAATATGATGAGGTGATAGCTTCATACCTGATACTCCAGCACCAGATAACCCAGGGGGCAGGCTGCATGTTCCTGGTGAAGCCTGTGCATCAACAGGATTGGGCCTTGCCTGGGCCCCAGGGATCTTTCCTTCCAGTGTCTTCACAAAGAAGAGTGCCAGTCAGCCTGCCCTTCCATCTTCACCTTGCCTGTGAGCAGCAGCTGCCTAAGGAGGCCAAGAAGGCAGGGCAGAAGGGCAATGGGAAAGCCAGCATGCCTGCTTCCTATATGCAAAGACCTCCACTCGCAGCACAGCCTCCCCGGGGGACCCTGTGCGCCACATGCCTAACCCCTGGATGATCCTCAGTAGGTGGGTCATAGGGCAATCTTATAACAACAAGATCTGCACCTGCACTCAGCAACTGCCTTGTGGGCCAGCATTCAGGAAAAAAAAAAAATTCCAGTGTTCCAATGCAAGAAAGGCAGAAATGGGCTAGATTCAGGAACAGAGTGGGCTCCAATGAAAATGGAGAGCTGAGACAGACAAAACCAGCAGACAGCCAGAAGACCCTGTGCTCTGTGATCCTGACATCATGGCGTGGGCATCTGTGTGGACTAAACAGCTGCAGGAGTGTGGTGTGCAAACTGGCTCAGGCTTCTCTGCACAGGTTCTAGATAGGAGCACATCTGGATCCACTAGAAGTCTCCTCTGCCCCCACCTGGAAGAGGCATTAGAGACTTTTTTTTTAAGTTGTAGATGGATACAGTATCTTTATTTATTTATATGTGGTGCTGAAGATTGAACCTAGTGCCTCTCACATGTAGCTCAGTGCTCTACCACTGAGCTACAGCCTCAGCCCCATCAGAGACTTTCCCTAGGACACTTCCCCCGCCCTACTCTTCTCTGTCCTTTCTCCCATGCTTCTAGGACAGCAAAGATGCTTCTTTATAAATTTATGTTTCTTACAAATTGTATAATAAAATTGACATTTCAGAGATTTTTTTTTTAAGGCAGATTAAAGAGAGGAGAAAAGCTTCGGGGCAAAGGCAGGAGCCCAGCAGCTGTCCTCTGCAAGGCCTGGACCACTGTGCCTCCCCTCTCCTGTTCAGTTGAGATACTTGCCTTAAGCCAGTGTAGATGGGGACTGGCTCCTCTTGACCTGGTGTAGACAGAGATTCTTCCCTTGAGCTAGTATAGACTTGATTCACTTTGAGCTGGTTGCTTTGGCCAGAAGGAATCCCTCTCCTGGTGTTTAGGCCCTTTCTTGAGGTGTGTGGAGAGGGCAGGTGGCAGCTAGGCTGCTGTTGGCTCTTGCAGGCTGCTTCTAGCAGCACTCCTCTCCAAAGTTTGCCGTCTCCTGCGATATTGCACTGCCAGGGAGCCAGCAGCAACATCACAACCCAAATTTCTACTGAATGCAGCAAGTTTGAGTTAACTTCTTACAGTGCCTTTATGTCAAACAAGAAAAATCCACATAGATAGCTGAATATTTCAGTGTGGCCTCATCTTTTAGAACCATAAAGGATGAGCTCATCTTTAGCTTTTGTTATATGCATCTTCTGTTGTGATGCAAACCACAGGCTCCTTTAGTCAGTGAATTATAGCAACAATAAAAAACATGAGGCCAAGGTTTGAGGTAGATAATAATATACCTCACTATGAGTCACTGTCTTACTCCGAGAACCTCATCCATCAAGGAATGAGGAAGATTCTGTCTTCTTACAATTCTAGGGAAGGAATATCTGAACTGGAATGATTGTGGATCCCATTAACAAAAGCCCTAGAGAACCCAGAACGGCTAGTTCAGCCCTAAATGCTACATCCATTAGCAATGTGCAGTCATCTGAGAGCTGTCTCACACAGGCCAGGCACATCCTAAGAGCATGTGGTACTACTTTCAGAATATCTTCCTCATAAGGTCTGATTGATAATAAACCCACATCCCTTCAACTATCCTATTAAATGACCTAATTTTTTTTTCCATTGGAAGCAGAGCAATACCAAACTAACTGGTCAAAATGTTCTGTAATAAATTAATAGCTTTGGGGCTAAGTTGATGACTTGAGTTGATTATCTTGGTGATGTACATATAAATTATGTTTTCTAGAATAAGTAGAGGATAAGAAAGGCCTTTCTTATACAATTTGTTATTTATTCACCTTTTCTTTTTTTGGTGATGCTAGTAATCAAATACAGGGCCTCACACATGCTAGACAGGCCCTATACCACTGATCTACTTTGTATGCAAACCCTCTTCAGCTTAAATAACATAACAGAGCTTTTTTTTTAATATTTATTTTTTAGTTTTTTAAAAGTAGACACAATATCTCTATTTTTATTTTTTTTTTAAAGAGAGAGAGAGAGAGAGAATTTTAATATTTCTATTTTAGTTTTCGTTGGACACAACATCTTTGTATGTGGTACTGAAGATCGAACCCGGGCCGCATGCATGCCAGGCAAGCGCGCTACCGCTTGAGCCACATCCCCAGCCCTCTATTTTTATTTTTATTTGGTGCTGAGGATCAAACCCAGTGCCTCGCGTGCTAGGCGAACACTCTACCATTGAGCCACAACCCCAGCCCCACAACAAAGCTTTTTAAAGCACCAAGAGTAAATAATTGATGGTACTATTGACCCAAATTAAGTTTAACCTTCAAACTGTGTATGAAAAATATGGTATATCCTAAGTAAGCCAATATAAGAAGTTCAGTGTTTATGTATGTATAAATATTATACTAGTTGAAAATTCATTTAATTTTTTAAAAATATTTTTAGTTGTAGATGGACACAATACCTTTATTTTGTTTATTTAGTTTTTTTATGTGGTGCTGGGGATCGAACCCAGTGCCTCACACATGCCAGGCAAGTACTCTCCCACTGAGCCACAACCCCAGCCCTCGTTTAATTTTTAATAGTGTATTATGATTTTATAAATTGAAGATATTTTCAAAACTTGTCAATAATGAAGAGGCATTTTCTTTTTTTTTTTTTCTCTTTTATTTCTGTAAGTTAGGGTGTTCTTATTCCTTAGGAACAATAAAGTACTAGAGTTTGGCTTTGAATCTGATTGAACACCTTACAAAGTGAATAGGAAAATAATTTTTAGAACATCATTTAATATTACAGATCTGTGGTTTTGTTTTGCCCATGTCAATCAATCAAACATATTTACCGTATTCAGGAAATTTAACTCAATATGTAGATTCAGCTGTTTTGCTTTGGGGGAATATTAGTTATGACAAGCACAGAATAAGACATGCACATTTTTGGAGCAATTTTACAAAACATTTACCTTTGGTACTTTAAATTTTTTTCATAAAATGTCTACATTAGTTTGTGGTATTTTCCTCTCAATTTATTGGATACACTAATATGTTTTAATAAACATCAATAAAAATGGAATTCTTTCAAAATAGTTGTCTGTGCCGTGAATGCCCTTGCCCACCATGTGCTTCACAAGGACCTCAAGGACATTGTCAGTGACTTCAGAGGCTTCTACAGGCAGCTCACCAGTGACGGGCAGCTCAGATGGGTAAGAGACCTATTTTGTAAAAAGCTTTTATAAATAAGTTACTACGGTCTAAGATGTCCTTTGATTGCAGCAAATGTGAAAATAGTAATGGCTGTACAATTTCTAAGTAAAGCATTTCATTCAAATAAATTAGGGCTTGAGTCATTTAGATAATCAGTATTTTGAGGCAATCAGTTCCTTTCTGTAAGGCTTAAAGCTTTTTTTTGGCTCTTATCTACCTCATTTCCCACTCCCTAGATTGGAAACAGTGGTCTAGAGGATAAAGAGCTGAATGGGCAACCTTTCTTTGGAAGAGAGAATGTGAACAGTTCTGGTATTGTGGCAGAGGTTATTAAGAAGTAAAATAAGAACAAAGTTAAAAAAAAAAATAGGGTGTGGTGGTGCATGCCTGTAATCTAAGCCTCAGCAATTTAGCAAGGCACTAAGCAATTTAATGAAACCCTATCTCAAAATAAAAAATAAAAATGGGCTGGGCCTCAGCAACGGCGAGGCACTAAGCAACTCAGTGAGACCCTGTCTGTAAATAAAATGCAAAATAGGGCCAGGGATGTGGCTCAGTGGCTGAGTGCTTCCGAGTTCAATCCCCAGTACCAAAAAAAAAAAAAGAGAGAGAGAGAGAGAAATAAAGAAGACCATAGTACCTAGCCTGCTTATAGGCAGTATCTAGCATACTGTTGAAGCATGAAAAACTAAGTTTCTAGAGGAAGGTTTTTTTTTTTTTTCTCTTTTGACACTTCTTATTGGTACATTATAGTTGTGATGGAATTTGTTGTTTCATATTCATTCAGGCATATGATGTAACTATAATTTGGCCAATATCATTCCCCAGCAATTCCCACCTCTTTCCCTTTCTCCCACTCCCTGTTCCCTTTCCTCTACTCCTCTCCCTTCGATTTTTATGAGATCCCACCTCTCCCCCACACCTTTCTCTTCCTTTTTCCTCTCTAACTTCCACATAGAAGAGAAAACATACAACTCTTTGCCTTCTGAGTCTGGCTTTAGAGTAAGGATTTTTTTTTTTTTTTTACTTCCACTTTATTTTTTTTTAATTTTTATTGTTGGTTGTTCAAAACATTACATAGTTCTTGATATATCATATTTCACACTTTGATTCAAGTGGGTTATGAACTCCCATTTTTACCCCGTATACAGATTGCAGAATCACATCAGTTACACATCTATTGATTTACATATTGCCATACTAGTGTCTGTTGTATTCTGCTGCCTTTCCTATCCTCTACTATCCCCCCTCCCCTCCCCTCCCCTCCCCTCTTCTCTCACTACCCCCTCTACTGTAATTCATTTCTCCCCCTTGTATTTTTTTCCCTTTCCCCTCACTTCCTCTTGTATGTAATTTTGTATAACCCTGAGGGTCTCCTTCCATTTCCATGCAATTTCCCTTCTCTCTCCCTTTCCCTCCCACCTCTCATCCCTGTTTAATGTTAATCTTCTTCTCATGCTCTTCGTCCCTACTCTGTTCTTAGTTACTCTCCTTATTAGAGTAAGGATTTTTAATACAGTAAGATAAATCCAGTAATCTAGACTTTGCCCTTGTCTCCTGATGACTGGTTTGTCTTGTCCAAACTCTGCTAGTCTCCCATCCATGCACTGAGAAGGGCACAAGAGAATGCACTTTCCATATTGTCTTGGGTTTTATGTTTTACTTTCTGCAAAGCAAGTGTATCTTGCCTTGAAAGGTGTCATCTTGAAGAAGCTCCCACTGGCCAAATGTGGGACAACTGTAACATTAGAATAAATACGATAGCAATGTCATTTAAACTCACTGAGTGAAATAAGAATCTATGAATCTGTTCAGATAATAAGCAAAGGAAAACTTATCATTAGAGTATAAACTAATGAGTGTGAGATGAATGATAACATTAGAAAATCACCATATTTCAACCATCATAGCCACAGTTAATTGAAGCAAGAGTCACAAGTGTATGCTTAAATTTGGGGTCAATAGTAATCTTCTGATTTAGAAAAGGAAATTGGTATCTTCAGAGTAGAGAAACCAAATGAACACTATCTTACTCAAGTGGTGAAAATTAATAACCCTAATAATAAAACAAAATGACATAATTACTTACGCAACATTTGTGCCAAAAAAAGAATAAACTGAATCTAATCATGAAGTTACTACAGACTGACACATATTGTGGGGTACTTGATAATATCAAATGGCCTCTACTCTAAAATGTCAATATCATCAAAAGAAAAAAAAATTGTTCCAGACAAAAAGACATTAAAGAGCCATGACAACTGAATACAACACGTGGTCCAGGATTGGATATGGATCAAGGTAAAATAAGGTACTATTGGGAAAACTGGTGATATTTGATTATGGATTATGAATTATGATTATGGACTATCTTTTAAATACCAATAGCCCATCAATATTTTATTTCCTGAATATGACCCTTATGCTGTGGTTATGAAGAAGAATGTCCTTGTTTTTTTGGAACTATACACCAAAGTATTTAGGAGTAAAAGAACATGCTATCTGAAACCTTACTCTCAAATGGTTTAATAAAGAGAGACATGAAGAGACAAGTTTTTATACTTTCACGAATTTTCTGTTGGTTAAAAATTGTTTTCTGGGGCTGGGGTTGTGGCTCAGCAGTAGAGCACTCGCCTTGTGCATGTGAGGCCCTGGGTTCAATCCTCAGCACCACATAAAAATAAATAATAAAGGTATTGTGTCCAACTACAACTAAAAAATCAATATTAAAAAATTGTTTTCTATAAAGCATAACCTTTAAATGAATTTCCATTGCTGTCTTTTCATTCTTGAAATGTGGTCCCTGGCCAAAGGACCTAAATATCTTTTTCATGTCTAGGAAATGCTGCTATGTTTTCCTTCCCAGATTGGTCCAGAGAAAGGGGTGGTGCACCTGGCAACAGCAGCCATTCTGAACGCAGTGTGGGACCTGTGGGCGAAGCAGGAAGGAAAGGTAACTCATCTCAGAAGCACACATGTAGCTCTGTGGCACAGGAGGACTTGTGACTTTCTCTATAAGCAGTCTCAGAAGACCAAAGTCAAGTGCAACACAAGTGTCAAAAAGGAAATACTGGGATACTTGATTATTTTCTTTCCTGAGTAATATTGGCAGTAGTTAGGAAATTATAGGATTAGGTTATAAAGGGCCAAGAAAGATGGAAAGGGACAGCAAAGGGAACAGGTTAAGAGGCAGCAGGAGACACAGGCAGCATTAGAGGTGAGTGGGTGGCTGGGGGTCCGAAGCTCTGATAGTGGGAGTTTGCCACAAGCACATTCACTGTCAGGACAAAAATGAGTGCTTTACGAATGTGCTTTACATATCTTTTCTTTTTTTTCTTCAAGCCTCTGTGGAAGTTACTTGTGGATATGGTAAGTAGATTCTTTAATGTTGTAATCATTTCTAAATGAAATAAATTTTGTGGATTATTTGCCTTTTAATAATCAGTAAGTATGTTCAAAACTATAGATCTATAGTCTATAGATTACTGATGATAAAGCAAAAAACAGTAAAATATAATATTCCCTTTCTGATATGTGAAGTAGCAGCTCTGCTTATGTAGGTGGGGTGGTACGTCAGGAGGCAGGGAGTTAAGGTATTCCCCTGCTGGGGACATATAACACGGGATGCAAATCCTCTCCACCTCCACTGCCTGTGAGGACTGTGAGAAGAAGATTATAGAGCCTCTGCAAATGTCCCTGAGTTAAAGACCAAGTGAGAAGAGCACCTCCTAAACTCCTGAAAGCCAGGTACTACTGTTAAGACATCATCTGGTCACTTTGACTCCAAAAGCAAGATCATGGCAACCTGTGCTGTGCATTTCCAGCAGGGAAGGACCTTCACACTGAATCTGAAGTTACACACTTGGTGTTTTCTTTCTCGTTGACCTATTTATAGCAGGGCGAACACCTGGCTGCTGAGAAGGAAAACTCCATGCAAGTTAGAGGGGAGTGAACCTCTGACCCAGGCAGACCTAGCTCTGAGTGTGTTTTTCACTACTAACTAGCTGAGTGCCCCTGAGTGTATTAATTAGCCACTGTGAGCTGCAGCTGCCTTAGTGTGATGTCTGGTGGTCCACAAATTATTATTTAGCAGGAAAATTAAGGAAAAGCAAAGAACACAATGGCCTTGAAGACATTTGGGCCAGGAGACCTTGTTCCCCTCTGGAGGCAGGTGAAGAGAGGCGGTTGTCACATCGGTCTGATATGGCCAAAGGTGGCATGGGGGCCCTCTCAAGGGAAAAGATATGAAAGGGTATATTTAGTGACCACCACAAGAGAAGGATCTGAGGAGTACTAGAAAGGTGCATGAGATCCCACCTGAGGACTTTCCATTTTTTGGAACCTGTTCTCTGTTTCAATGCTACTTCTGTTTTCAAAGAAGAATCTCAGGGTTGAAAGAGCTTTAGATTTTTAGCAGCTCTGGAGGAGTATTATGATCACTGTATGACATTAGTGGGAACAGAGCTGCTAGTTCCTTTTCCCCTGACTGTTCGGTGGAGTGGGGAGAAGACCCAGTGTGAGGCCTAAGTTGACATGCGGCCAGAGTGCTGAGCGGGCAGAGGAAGAAAAGCTGATCTGGAGCACAGTTGGCCATTGTCCAGGAAGGTCAACGCATTCCCATTCCACACTCTCTTGCTGTCAGGGAAGGAAATTATCTCCACTTGGCAGGAGAGGAGATTGCCAAGGCTACAGTGCTGAGGAGCAGTGGGCCTCGGATGACCCTGGGGACCCAGCTCTCAGAGCAGCTTTCTTTCCTCCATACCAACCTGCTCCAGGACCACCTTCATCCCCTCAGCAAAGTCAGCCTAGGGGTTGAGCAGGTATATAGAGGGATGCCAGGTACCGTCTGTTTGTTTTTGTTGTGCCAAGTGTTTGTTTTGTGCCAGGGCCTTTTGCTGGGAAGCCATGTTTTTTGGAAAGAACAAGGCAGAAGCAGGGAAGGAAGGATCAGAGCATGAGGGACTGAGGGCTTGCTAGGGCCAGCAGTGAGCCTCTGAAGGACTCCATATAAGGAGTGACAGGACCAACTTTACTCAAATCCCAAAGGTCCCTTCCTGGAAAGGATGAGCCTGATAGATGAGAATAAGCAGCATCTTAGAAACATAATCTGCCTGTGAATTGATTGAGGCCTTCCCTTTCCTGTCCTGCTGCCAGGATCCCAGGACGTTGTTATCCTGCATTGATTTTAGGTATATCACCGATGTCCTGACTGAGGAGGATGCCTATGGTGAGTCATGTGCGAGGAGTGGGCCTGGAAGCTTCCTGGTGTATACAGAAATGTGTAAGCAGCATCCACAGGCCCTGTTGGGTGGATGAAGGAGTGAGTGATGCTTTTTATTTTTGCAGAAATACTGAAGAAAGGTCAAGTTGGTAAAAAAGAAAGAGGTGGGTTGTAAGAAAATTTCCTTCCTTGCTTGTTCTATCATTGTTCACTTTTGATTGTCCCTGTCTTCTATGAGTGCGCATTATCCTCAGATGCACTGTGCCAACCTGGGTGAATCGGGGGATTGAGTCATGAGGATCACAAATTCTAGGCCAGCCAGATGCACTGTGCCTAGCAACTAAGGCCCCAATCAGAATTGTGGGTCTAGGTGAAGAAGCCACATAGGTGTGACCTCTGGCTGCAGGGTTCACTTCAGCCACTGCTCACAGAAAGTTTGACTTTAGGGTTGTACTGTAGGTTAGGGGGACCCTTGGGGAGTGGGGCATTCAGAGAAGGTATCCTGATCACCTGGACTTGACACCCCAATTGGCTGGACTTGCGGCAGGGTGCATGTGAAGGGCACCCAGAATAGCTGGATTCTCTGGGCAACAGTTTAGCTGTAGACAGTTTGAACCCAAAGTTCCCTACAAGGTGCAAGATGTTGACAAGTGTTGTGTTTTCCAGAAGAGCAAATGCTGATGCATGGCTACCCTGCCTACACCACATCATGTGCCTGGCTGGGGTACTCAGATGGCACACTAAAGCAGGTAGGCTTTTTTAACCTGGTTTTGCAGGCAAGGTGAAGGGGGAAAAGTAAACTGGTTTTCCATCTGCACTCGCACCTCTGCAGTCATACATCACCTCTGACACCGGATGTGTACAGTTTTCTCCCATACCAACCAATTCTCTAATCTTGTGGGCACCATGGGTGGCCTACAACTTAATTCTAATTCTGGAGTTATCATCAGACTCCACAGGTTATTGGCTCAGGCTTACAGGACTTCCCCACTTCAGATGCCAGTCGTGCAAGTCTAGGCTGTCACTTGAGCTTTTGACCAACCATCTATAAAATGGAGGTTTCTATACAACCCAACCAACCCACCTCCTACCCCCACTGCCTTTGAATTTTATTATTTGCTAGAATGGCTCACAGAACTTAGGGAAACATTTGCGTACATTTACTGGTTTATTATAAAGGATATAATGCAGGAACAGCCAGGCAGAAGAGATATGCAGAGCAGAATATGTGTCAGGGGCACCCAGACCAACCCTGAAGCTCTCTGGACCCTTTCCTTTTGGGTTCTTCCAGAGGCTTCACTTAGCAGGCAGGTTGATTACATCATTGGCTTTTGGCAGTAAACTCAACCTTCATCCCTTCCCCTCTCTAGAGGTCTAGGGTGGGGGTTGAAAGTTCTAACACCTTATTAGGGCCTGGTCTTTCTGGTGATCAGCTCTGATGGGTCCCTCTTTAGGCTCATTAGCATACAAAAGACACCACTCAAGATCCCCAGGGTTTGGGGGAGCTGTATGCTAGAAAAATGGGGCAGGGAAGTGGAAGAGGCAGATACCAAATCACACAGGCTTCCCTGGGAGAGATTTACAATTTTATTATTAGGTTTTCCAAATCCTCAATCCAAGGCTTCCTTCAGAAAGTACTTATATATGAATGAAAGTCAAGCCATTCACCTTGCAGACCCTGGGACTCTGACATAATGGTCTCAGCTCAAATTCTAGAAGGTGAGAGACTAATATTGATAATAGAGACTAATAGAACCATGTACCATTATGCAGGTGACTTACCCATTGCTGAGCCTCAGTTTTCTCACTGTGAAACAGGAAATAACAGCCTGTGTCTCAGTGGGGCAGTTTTGAGGAAAGCTGTAGGTTAGCATCCGGTGGCTGACATGTGGTATACAGATAGCACATTATTCATTTATTACTCTTTTGTTTTTTAAAAGATGGACACAATATATTTTATTTATTTATTTATTTACTTACTTACTTACTTATTATGTGGTGCTGAGGATGGAACCCAGTACCTCACAAGTGCGAGTCAAGCGTTCCACTGCTGAGCTATAACCCAGCCCCTACTCTTTCTTATTACATTTACTCACCTAGAGTCGAGAGAGAGAGAAAGAGACAGAGACAGAGCCTGGCTTTTGTTTGTTGCTCTTTTTATCCATTAGTTCGATGGCCGTCACAGAAAATCCTGGCTAAAAAGAGGGTCATTCATACTATATTCCCCTTCCAGGATTGCTGTGACAATTTGAGAAATAGTTCCTGTAGAGACAAGGATCACTACCACTAGAAAGAATGATGCTCTGTTGGCCAAACTGCATCTCTTTTTAATTTTAACAATACATAATTGTTTTTCTGATTTATGCTATAACTGTTATGTTTAAGAAACTCAGATCAGAAATGACTGAGGTGCCTAATGTCAGGCCAGGGGAGCTCAGTACCTTATTCCATCCCAACTAACTTTCTGCAACTGGTCCTGATTCTTTTTTTTTTTTTTAAATATTTATTTTTTTAGTTGTAGTTGGACACAACACCTTTATTTCACTTGTTTATTTTTGTATGTGGTGCTGGGGATTGAACCCAGGGTCTCGCACGTGCGAGGCAAGCACTCTACCGCTGAGCCACAACCCAGCCCAGGTCCTGGTTCTTCTTGGCATTTCCAGGAGCCAGTACCAACAGGTACTCCTCTTTCTCCATAGCTCTGTGCAGCAGCGCTGAAGGACGGCTGGACCAGGTAAGTTATTTGCATGGTAGTGGACTTGACCTTCTCAGCAGCAGGAAGAGACTCATTGAAGAAGAGCCAGGGACTAAACAGCACCAACAAGGCCAAAAGCAGTATGGCACATAGGCACACCAAAGCTCCAATGTAGACCAGGCTCATTCTCCAAAGACAAGATAAGTCCCAGTTAGAATGTTAGAACATCACATGAATAAAATAGAACTTGGAGACTGTCCACTTCAAGCAGCTATTCAGAATAGAAATCCATTCTATTAGATGAATCACAAGACCTGATTCAGCATTTCTGGACAGCTCCCAAGGCAGCCAGCTTAACTTTACAAAGCACTTTTCCATTGCTTGAGGCCATTAAGTGTTAGAAGGGTCTTGAATATTGGCAACCCTTCACTTCCAACTAACTTTCTGCCACTGGTCCTGGTTCTTCATGGAGTTTCCAGGAGCCAGGTTTCTCCTCTTCCACTGGAGTGACAACCCTCCCTTCCCCAGACTGCCTCCTGATCAGATGGAACACCTGCACTTCTCCCTCCTTCGTATATGACTATGGACCCCTGAGACTCCTACGATCTTCCTCTGAATGAATCGTGGTTGTCAATAACCCCAAATCCTTATATACAGTAGGAAGCAGAGACTGTTTTCCCTCTTGATCCAGCCACTATAAGCCCATGAGTGTAGATAAAGGTGGCACCTTTTACCTGGCTTGTGATTGATCAACTCTGCAGATTCTCAAAGTGTGGTTCATGGAGCATCAGCACCTGGGAGCTTGGGAGTTTGTCAGAAATGCAGAGTCTCAGCCTCTCCCCAGTCCTGCTACATTGAAATCTGCATTATAACAAGATCCCTAGGTGATTGATGTGCACACTAATGTGTATTCTTTTTAACTCCTCAGCTAAAGATATAAAAGAGGCAGCATAAAGCAATAGAAAGAGACTTTGGCATATGATAGAACTGGAATCAAATCCTGCCTTTCCTCCTCATTCCTTACAAACCTGTGTGATTCTGAGCAAATTGCTCACTCTTGCTCCACTTCATTTTCTCTCTGTATAAAATGGAAATAATATTAATTGATGGTTCTCCTCAAAGTTGCCATATGTGACAAGGGCCAGCATAAGGTAGATTCAGAGCAGGTGCTCAGTGCAGGCTTCCTGCCCTCCTCCAGACTCAGGAGTCCAGAGCAGTGGATCTGGTGAGTCGGCCACGCTCCAGGAAAATTTCATGGGCCTCCCAACACAAGAAGCCTGACATGCAGAGGCTGTGGCCAGCAGCCCTCTCTCAAGCACCACAGATCATGTAGTCAAGCTCCAGTGTGTGTAGAAATGTCTTCAGAGGGTACAGTATTGCGCTCAGGAAGAAAAGGGCAGTAAGTGCCTGGGTATGTGTGAGCTGGGGATTTTTGTAGGCACTTAGAGAAGCAGAGGAAGGAGCTTGAGCAGTCCTGGCTCAGTCTGAAGCAACATCCAGCAGCCATTGCTGGCCCTAAGTGCAGCCTTGATGCCAGGATTGCACAGGAAGCAGAGGCTGATAAGAGAGAGCGCTTGCCAGTGGCCTGGCAATGTGTCCCCTCCTCCACATGACAGTGCCCACATTCTGGTCAATGACACTCTCCTGACAGCAAAGTCACAGGGAACAAATGTAGAGACTTTTATTTCAAGAGCATAATTTCACATCAAGACAGATTAGGGAGCTCCCTGCAAATGTCAGATGTGGTGTGAAGGAGATCTCTGCAGGGAGCCTGAGGCCACACTCTGCTGCTCCTCAGTGCTGTGGCCTAGTCCTTTTCTCCCTCTGGGGCTTAGGCCCCTGCACCAGAGGGAACAGACTAGCCCCAAGGCCTTCCTCTCATGGGTTCATTTAAGATAAGGCCCGCTATGGGAAGGGCTAAGCAAATATAGGTGCTTTATAAATCAGACTCTTGATTTGTGATTTCTCAGGGAGGCTGTCTTAGCAAACCACATCAGCCCCACTATCCTCTTCAATTCCAACTGTGACATTTTGTAGTTCTAGGAGAGGGGTTGAGAGTGAAAGTGAGGCTGGGTAGGTCAGGAGGTGTGGTGGATCAACAAGGCAGTGGGGAGGAGGGAGGTAGTAGTGGTGGTAAAGTTAGGGAGTGGAATGAGAGAGTGGGGCTGGGGCCGGACCTTTAGCACATACACACTCCCAGTTTTGTTCCTTTTTGCTCTTAATTTCTTTTCATGACACAGTAAAAACTCAGTTAATTATATTAGAGATTTAACTTCTCTCTCCAGTTCCTTAACTGTAGGTAACTGAAAATCATTGCCCTGATCCTGGGTACTGAGAGATGCAGTTTGCAGGTTTATTTTCAAGCCGCTTGTCTAAAGATTGACTGGAAAATACCAAGAGGTTACTGGAAAATGTGGTCTGTGGATTATTGACATAGAGAGTCACTTCTGTAGAAAATCCAGGAGCTTTTGCCAAGTCAGAAGACAGATCCAAACTACCCAACCAAATGTATTTATAGGTTTAAAGTAAAGGTTGGGGCTGATCTCCAGGATGACATGCGTCGATGCCGCCTCATCAGAGACATGATTGGACCAGAGAAGACTTTGGTAAATATCCTCTTACACCACTAAGAAGTGGCCACCTTGCCACTTTGTTCAGGGCCAAAACTCATTTCAAGCAAGAACTCGTTTCAAGCAAGAATTAAAAACAGTGGGAATTTTAAAACTTACTGTCAGAGGAATTATGATTCTGTGGCCTTGTAGTAGGTGAACTCTTTTTAAAAAATGGGGGCTGATACTTTTTAGTTTTTGAATTCTGCAGAACAAGCTAAATAATACCAGGGTGATAGATTGGTCATCTTGCTAATATGAATAAGCTCAAGCAAATGGGTCTCCCATTGGTGCCCTGATGTGTCAGTCATTAATTCCCTACATAGCTCATCAGCTAGGCGGCTTTCAGGGAACTAGTGTGAAGAAGTATTGAAACTCTGGCAGAAATAAATGTGAGGATTGGTCATTCCTGACTGTGTATTGTTATGAAACAGTTATTATGTGTAAAATATTTTCATGAAAGGAGGTCACCATTGAATCTCTTTTAAAAAATTTTTTTTAGTTATACATGGACACAGTATCTTCATTTTGTTTATTTACTTTATATGGTGCTGAGGATCGAACTCAGTGCCTCACACATGGGAGGCAAGCGCTCTTCCGCTGAGGCACTCCCCAGCCACCTCGAATCTTTTTTTTATAAAGTTAAAAGGCTTGTTTCATACATTAAAATTGAAGTGTGGATTCCTTGAAGTGGCAGCAGAATCAGAAGTCCCATTATTTATACATGAGTTAATTTAGCTGCTTTTGTTTCATGAGGTCATCCTCATCCAAATGATTTATGATGAAAATTGATCCTGAGTGTACTATCTTCTGCTTCTCACCGTCTTGTGAGGGAGCTCACACACTTAGCACATTCTATAGATAGATTTCCTTTTCTGTCTTCTCCAAGCATGGGAAGGCTGGGGTAGTCGGGGTGGAAGGGTCTTGCTCAAGTGCTGCACACCCAGCCCCTGGCTTCCAGGCAGGGTGGCAGCACACACTACAGAGATCCAGGGCTGGGCAAGTGAGGCCTGGACCTGAATTCACCCTTGACTTACCTTACTGTTCTTGAGGAAGTTACTTCTCTGCATTTCAGTTTTCTATTTATAATAGGTTAATATGAACTGCCTTGTAGGGTTTTTATAAGGATTAAATGAAACAAAATCCATGAAGTGCCCAGGGAAGCAGGTATTTCATTAAGTAGTTATTTATTAATGTGCCAGACACATGGTAGGTAGTAGTCAATAAATAACTCTTGAGCAAACTCAATATTGACTGTGCATATGATTCAGAATGATAAAATGGTTCCAACAATCTAACTAACACTGCAAAACACACCTATTTGTGGGGGTGTGGGGGCATCTCAATGTAAACTGGGCCTGAGCTTCAGGGTCTAGCAAGTACTTCTTGAGACCCAGCCCAGGGCACTTTCAGACATTACAGAGTCTTCATGAACAATTTGCATCTCCTCAAAAAAGACAGTATCTAGAGCCAGAGTTCTAATTACAGTGGCTACTCTTTGGTTCTTTTTGTTTGGGCTGCATGTGCTTGTCTTCAAAAAAGGAAATGTCAGGTGAATCTTCCTCAGCAGTTGGTGGTACAGAGTGACAATGTCTCCTTGTTGGGAGTCACCCCTGCAGCAGAGTGAAGGCCCTTTCCTTACAGATGATGGATGCCAACCAGCGCTGGGATGTGCCTGAGGCAGTGGAGTGGATGTCGAAGCTGGCTGAGTTCAAGCCATTGTGGATTGAAGAGCCAACGTCCCCTGATGACATCCTGGGGCATGCAACCATTTCCAAGGTGGGTAAACTGATGCTTCTGCTGCATTGGCCATTTATTTTTTTGTTTAGTTTTCCAGAAGGGTCATGGAAGATGCCAAAATTTCTTTTGAGTTTTCCCTTTTACATTTCCTCATGGAATATTTGAAATAATTGTAACATGTGACAAGTAAGGGAACTGCAGACTCCATTTCCATTTGTTTGAGAAAGTTGCTGAAAGTTTAAAGGCTATCAGCCATCTGAAGATTAATAGATATGGTTCTCATACTTTTATAAATATAGAAATATGATTGATATGTAGATATAGATGGTCACTGACTTAAAATGGCTCAACATATGATTTCCCCACTTTATGATGTTGCAAAAGTGATAGGCATTTAGCAGAAACTAGACTTCAAGTTTTGAATTTGCATCCTTTCCCAGGCTAGCAATATGCAGTACAATACTCTTGAGATGCTGAGCAGGAGCAAGCAGAAGCAAGTGGCAGCTCCTGCTCATCCACATGATCACTAGGGGAAATAACCAGTGATCTGCAGTATGCAGTGCTGCTGAGCTAGGATGTTCCATGGGTGGTGTATTCAATGAGTTTTCTACTTAGTATCCTCTTCACTTACAATGGGTTTATCATCCTCACTGCAAGTGAGGAGCATCCACACTCATTCACCCAGAATGAAACAAAAAGTGTAGACTTCTCTGGATGTCACAGAAGGAAAGGCTTGCTTTGTTAATCAATGTCAGGTCTCCCTGAGAAAGTTTCCTGTGTTTCCCAAGAGCCCCCGAGAGAAATTCATACTAATTGGGAGCCAGCCCCTCTCCCTTTCACATTCTGAAAGAACTTCATACATTAAAAAAAAAAGAAAAAAAATCATATGTCAGGATATCCGAGAAGTCTTGTCTGTCTTGGAGAGCTTGCTTATATTTATAGCATTGACCTATGAAGCCAGAATGCCAGTTGGTTAATTCATAAAGAGAACTAGAACGTCTAGGTTTTTCATCCTCAAACCAGCACAAGCTCTGTCAGAAGCTGTATTAAGCCAGAGCTGCAGGGTGAGTATGGAACACAAGCTGTGGAATTTGTAGATGTGCTGGCTTCAGACCACAATGGCCCAGTACGGCCATCGCCAAGCTGATATACTTGCTTCTGGCAGCAGAGACATTGAGTCCCAAGCCTTGTCTCTACCCCGGGAACATTTGCCTCTGACTTGTGTTTTCATTGGATAACCCTTTCCCCCTGCACCCTGTACTATTGAGTTATTACATTCATTTGGTTTCCAGCCAAGTCTTGCCCCCCTTAGGAACCATTTTCTCCCTGAGGTGATTTTGCATAACTCTGCTCTCCCCTATTAGGATTTGATCATTAAAAGTTAACTCTGAGCCAGGTGTGGTGGCGCACACATGTAATCTCAGTGGTCCAGGAGGCTGAGGCGGGAGGATCACAAATTCAAAGCCAGCCTCAGCAAAAGCGACTTAGTGAGACCCTCTCTCTAAATAAAATACAAAAATAGGGCTGGGGATGTGGCTTAGTGATCGAGTGCCCCTGAATTCAATCCCCAGTAACCCCTGCCCCCTGCATAAAAGTTAACTGTGATGGAGTAGTCTTAGTTCCAGGTTCTGGAAGGGACACCTCGATGCATCCTACCTAAACTCACAGGTCTTACAAGGGTATGAAGTCAGAGGCTCAGAGACTTGTTCTTCCAGTTTTCTCACTAAATCAGCATATGATCTACTTTAGGTGGGACACTCATCAGAAACCTGTTTCAGGAATTCTCTCCTTTCTCTACTTATAGCCTCATGAAAGAGAAAAACCTGAGACATGAAGTAAAGTTGGATGGGATCCTGGGCCGAGTGCAGTAGAAAGAAGGGTGAGAAGGATGATGGGTGTGGTCCTATGTGACAGGGGACCTTGATGGGGAGAGAACAGAAGTGATAATGTAGGGAACACCATACTACAGGTAAGGGAATGAGAGCAGGAGTCATGCAGCAACTGAGACCTCTTTATTTAAAGAAAACCCGAACTTTCCAAGGAATAGTTCTGAAATGGGCAGCTCTGGATGAGAGGTCATGGGACAATAAGACTTTTCACCTGAGTCCCACTTGCCTTTGCTTCTTAGAGTTCTTTAAGGGTTGCTGCACCCTAATGTATGCTGTACGCCCCAGCACCCACCTGACCTCTGCCCACCTGGAGGGTCTCCTTAGAAGCTCTTCTGGAATTTGATGCTCCCAGGTTTTGCCTACACAGGTGTGGGGATGTCATTTCCTCAGCAGGCATCAGAGGAAGGGGGCAAATGAGCTAGCTACAAGGGAGGGGTGAGTGGGATGGAGATACCTAAGGGAATGCAGGGTGCATGCTGGGGAGGTGCTGGGAAGGCAGTAGCTGGGGCCAGACAATGGGGTCCATTGCTCAGAGAATACAGCCAGAGGGAGCCACTGGAGGATCTCAGTGATGGCACGGTGATGGCTGGAGGAAAGGGCGAGTGGACTGGTATGGCAACAGGAGTGAATTGGGGGTGGGTTTGTGGAAGGCGAAGAATGGGCAGAAGGAAATAGGATGGGAACTGGGAGGCTCTTGCTTCATCTAGGGGAGATGAAGGGGAGGGCAGGTTGAAGAGAGCAGACTCAGGAATTAGTGACAAGGAGGTACAAAAACTTGGTACGTAGTCAGTGCCACACATAGACGGCCTTAGAGTGGTAGAATGAGTAACTCAAATGGTTTTCTCTCCTTACCTTTCCTTTTCTCCCTCTCTTCTAAGATAAAAGAACCAAGCAATCTTAAATTAGAAACTTCAGGAAGCATAAAATATTGTGTGAAAAGGCGCTTGAGAACCCATCTGTTGAAACTGAGACCTGCTGCAATTAGGAAGCCAAGGCTTCAGGTGACTTGTGCATAACTTGGCCAAGTTCACACTTCCTGCTTAAGGCAAGACAAGTGCTAGAGTAAGGGACACCTGCCTTCTAAAATAAGGGCTATTTCTTCTGAGAAGCTGGCTTAATCTAGTGATTCACACATAAAGTAAAGTTGGGTGAGATCTCAGGCCAAATGCAGTAGAAAGAGCCTCCTCTGGCGCTGGAATTGGCCTAAAGTTCAAACCAGCTGTATCCTTCTAGTTTTGTGATGGGGGCACAGTTCTTACCTTGCACCTCTTTTTCTTCACCTGTAAAATGGGGCTACTGATAGGAGTGATTGACGTCAGTATTTTACATGGTGCCTGACAGGCAGTTAAGAGCTCAGAAAGTGTGGCTCTGGGTGTCAGTGATCAAGAGATGGAACCCGGCAGGAGCCAAAGATGTCTGAGGTGGGCAACTGTAGAATCATAGTTCAGTGGAGGCTGCAGAGGAGCAGCTTAGGGCCCGGGAGCTGGTGAGTGAGGTAGCTTTCCAGGGCCAGGCAAGAGGATAGAGTAGCAGCATCATATCTTAAGATTCCAACAACTCACCAAGTGAAGAGTTCACAGGTGAGCAATGGTCTCAGCCTTATCTGTGAAGTAGGATCTCAGTCATCCACATACCTGGAAGGGAGAGGATTTTGGAATTGACAGTAGCACATGAGGGTTCTAGAATAAGCTAAGAAGAAAGAAGAAAGGGAGAGGTAATCTGCAGGAAGCAGAGGTTAGACCCTGTGTGTCCATGAAGAGCCACTACTAAGTGACCAGGTCTTCTCCCAGTTCCACACCACAGCACAGGCCTTGGAGCAGGAGGGCCAGGAAGAGAACCGATAGCAACTGTGAGCAGCGCTTGCCTTTCCTCTCTGGACATGCGTTGGTCCCTCCACACACACATTCCCCTGGATATCTTCCTGCCAGTCTTTAAACTTCCCATGGTCCAACCCCAAGGATGTCTCCTTCTTCAGCTATAAATATTTTAAACACAAGGAGTTGTTTCAAATCTTATGAAAATGACACAAGACTGGCTTCTCTTGTAGGCACTGGTTCCATTAGGAATTGGCGTCGCTACTGGAGAGCAGGTGAGTGACATGTCCTTGACCACGGACTGAGGACCCCATTGTACATTAGGCTCCCATACCTGTTGCATTGTGAGCTGGGAATTTTTGTTATCTTAGAAATCAGCAGTTCCTTAGTGTCTGGAGTCAGATGTGGTTAAAAGGTTGCAGCTTTTTCTATAATTCATGGGACTCAGGTCATTGATTTTTTTTTCAAATCAGAATTGACAAGGCAGCAATTTAAAGTTATGATCACAAGGGCATACAATGGCTTCAAGAAAGCCAGCTTCCAAATTGAATAAACATGATGGCATTCGCTTTCTGTGCTTATAAACTAAGCTCAAGTGCCTGCCAACACCTGCTGCAGCCAGCCCACGAGCCAAGCAGTGTGAGGAACAGATTCTCAGTTTTCCCAGCAAAGGAGCAATACTGCTCTGCCATGGTTCCGTTTTGTCATTGTGCCACCTGCTCATCGCTATTACTGTACTTCATCCTGATGCTCCACTTCACTCCCACTTGCCAATAGACACAGCAGTTATTCCTTAATAAATGGCAGGCTGATGCGATCTGTACCTGACTCACACTCTCACATTCACAGATTTGTAAAGAAGTGAGCCCAAAGTCCCTGCCTGCACTGTCAGGGCCACCACATGCCAAGTGAGAATAATACAGCCCAGGCTTGCTGAAGACCTCTGATGAGTCACAGCTGGCATGGAATCACCACGTTGCCAGGCTTAGGGATCCTGAGGGCTAAGGCTGACTCTTCTCTTTGTATTATTTTTAATTCTATTTCCAGTGCCACAATAGAGTGATATTTAAGCAACTCCTACAAGCGAACGCCCTGCAGTTTCTCCAGATTGATAGCTGCAGACTGGGAAGTGTCAATGAAAACCTCTCAGTATTACTGATGGCCAAGAAGTTTGGAAGTAAGGGCCCTGCAGAGGCTGCAGGCCAGACCTGTTTCTCCTGCCATCAGACCCCATGGTTCCCTTGGGGGTCTTTGCAATTCACATAAGCCTGTAGTTTGCCTTGTTGGTTTCTTTCTAACTCTTCATTTAGCCCTAATCAAGGAATCTTTGATGATTTTCATCCTGGAATTTCATTCAGTATTAATGAATGGTTTAATCACCTTTGGGTATTAATAAAAACCACAGGGTTCTCTTTTATTCCTTCCTCTCTCTGTGTTACCTTTGGCATCAAATAGAAATGTCTTTCTTCTAGTTCCTGTTTGCCCCCATGCGGGTGGAGTTGGCCTCTGTGAACTGGTGCAGCACCTGATTATATTTGACTACATATCAGTCTCCACAAGCCTTAAAAACAGGTCAGTAATGTGCCGTTAATTCACTTTGCCCCTGAGTAGTGCCCCTTGGTTCAAGCCATATCTTCTATGATTCTGCTCTCAAGACCAGAAATACTCAGAACCTGGTGTAGTGTTACAAGGGCCTAAAATGGCTTTAAGAAAGTCAGCTTCCAAAGTGAATTAACATAGTAGCATTTACTTTTTGTGTTCATAAACTGAACACAAACTATAACACAAAGGCTTTTAGTCTTGCTTGACTTCTCCACATGGGGCAATAACAATGGGGACCCACCAGAGCATAGTCATTGTTCCTTCTTGAAAGGTAAGCTCTTGGTAGCTGACTCACTTTGGTAAGTATGTTGGGGGTGGAGTTTGAATCCAGACCTCCTCTCTCAAAACCAGCTCCTTTTTCTGAAGCCAGCTCTCAGCACACATGCACTCTCCACTTCCATCCAGTCTCCTCTTCTGACCCTGGAGTCCTGTACCACCTGGCTGCAGCTTTATGTAGTTAGTTCATCTTCTCGGCATGCCCAGGGGAACTTTATTATCTTGCCATGCTGAGTATCAAACCCCAAGCTTTGCACATGCCAGACAAGTGCTTCACTGTAACCTCAGCCCCCAGGTGAAACTGGGATGGGATCCTTCCAGTCACTGCATCCATAAAGCTTTACTTACTGTGCTTTTTGGTCTCCTGGAGTTAAAGGTGACACAGAAGCTCAATAAACATGATGCACAGAGAGGGCATGAAAACAGGCATTGGAAAGGTAAACACCAAATTCAGGAAAAAATAGAGCTGGAGCAGTAGTGCATGCCTGTAATCCCAGCAGCTCAGGAGGCTGAGGCAAGAGGTTCAGAGTTTCAAAGCCAGCCTCAGCAATGGTGAGGCACTAAGCAACTCAGTGAAACCCTGTCTCTAAATAAAATACAAAATAGGGCTGGGGATGTGGCTCAGTGGTGCCCAATCCCCAGTAACCCTCCCAGCCAAATAAAGGGATCTGTCTGGGCACATAGCAGGGGTCCTTTATAATTGTAATGGTTTCTTTCTTTATTTAGAGTGCTTTTCAAAGGTTTTGTCACTTGTAGGGTTAGGCCGAATGCCCAGGTGAAAATTGTTTTTTTTCTAAAGAAAAAGGAACTAGGTCAAAAAAGTCAGTTACTATTCATTAGCTTTTAAGTATGTTTCCATTGGCAGATATAACTGTGCTGTTTGTTTTAGTAGTCACATTTTGTTGACTGAGGGAGCACAAAATGCTGAGCAAAGAAAGTGGAAATTTATATACTTATATACTCATCCCCGCCCACCTGCCCAGCACCCTTCCCTAAACACTGGAGCATGTCCTCTCTACTCCAACATGGCATTACACAGAGGGCCTGTCATATAGGAATGCTCCACACATCAACCTTTATCAAGAAAGTACCAAGCTTAAAAAGGGATACTAGATATCATTCTTACCTGAATTTTCAGTGGCTCAATGTGATTCAGGTAAGCTCTTGATAGCTGACTTGGGACACCTCAGTATCCCTCAGTGCATTTCCCAAAGTAATAAGTAATAAAGTAATGAGTACACAGGTACTTCCTATTAATATGCCTAAACAATTTTATACTAAACCCATCTGTTCATCTGGAAGATGGAGGTTGACACCAGGTCACCCCCACTCCAATGAATAGGCTGATTCTAGAATGCAGAAAAACCACCTTCCTAGGTTATGTTGCTTTTGCTGCTCTCATTTCAGTTCCTGTCCTTGGGAACAAGGGCGGTCCAGAACAACCTTGAGAAGTCCCACAGGTCTTGAGGGATGAGAATAAGGGCCCCCCAGTGCCTCAGTGCAAGAAGTTCCTGGTGCAATACTGGCAGTGCTGGAGGGAATGCCCCTGTACACCACCACACTGACAGTGCACGCCTACCCCACATGCTTTGTCCTTCTTTGCAGGGAACAACTATTCCCTGCTTATCTTTCAGGGCCCAACTGTGCTATCTCATGTGGCTGTCTTCCTCCACAACCTGTTCTTAACAGATGACACATAGCACAGTCAGTGGCTTAGTGCCCGTGTCCACCAAAACCATGAGACTCATTTGCCAATTTCTTTATGCAGTCCCAGCACCAGGCTGCGCACCGCCTGCCTGCCACAGCTATTAATGATCTGGAGACTAAAGCAGCTTAGGTTACCTGTGCCCCTCCACCCCAAACATAAACACATCCTCCCACCACAAAACTAGAAAGTGGCTGACAGACTGACCCAAACCTATACTCTTCTAAACTAGTCACATAGCTGAAAAGAGACTCACTTGGTAATTTAATCTATTCATCTAACTTTGGGATATAGGCACCAGGTGATTCCAGATACTTCATGGAATCTAAACTGATGCTTTTAGGGCATCACAGAACTTTTAGATACCAGGGGCTTTGTGATTCACCTCAGCCCCCACATTGCTGTTTCACACAGATGAAAAGCATCCAGGGCACAGAAGGGCTTTGCCTAGAAGCCTTTGAAATCAGCTAAGCCGTGATGGAGTCCATTTCTTAAGGGCAGTCCCCCCTCTGCCTTAAGAAAAGCATTATCTGACTCCAGGCATTATTGTCCCAATTTGATTCCCTCTTCTAGGATGTGTGAATATGTGGACCATCTGCATGAACATTTCAAGTATCCTGTGGTAATCAAGCAGGCTTCCTACATGCCTCCTAAGGTAAGCTGGGACTTGGGACACCTCAGATGCTGCTAGCCACTAATGTGCCCATGAACATAGGGCACAAAGCTTTAACTCCCTAGAGTTTATTTTCATATCTAGAAACAAATGGCTCTTTAAGAGGTCAGAATCAAATTCCTAAGACCGGAAGGTCAGCATGGAGGTTAAATAGCTTGACAAGGATTCTTTAAAAAACCAAAAATTGGTACCATCTACAAGTTAGTGACCTAAAAGTTTCTGACTACGTCGGTATTACCTGGGCCATTTGTCCTGGTCAGGTTCAGATTGTGGCTTATTTTCACCAATAGGGGTTGTGCTATCAAAGGAAATTTGACTAGTTTCTGTAACTAATCCTAGTGAGTACCCAATAAAGTATGCCCCCCAAGCCCCAGTCTGAAAACTTTTTAAAGTATTGAATTGCTTCTGACTTAACTGGCATTATTAGGAACAGTAGGAATACGTAACATACATATTTTTGTTCCTGGTGGTTATCAACACAAGTGACTATGTCGTCTTTGCTAGGATGCTGGCTACTCAACAGAAATGAAAGAGGACTCTGTAAGGAAACACCAATATCCAGATGGCGATGTCTGGAAGAAGCTCCTTGCTGCTCAAGAAAACTAAGTGTTCGTTTAGCCCTAACACCATTTTTTCTTAAGTGAAAAGGCTTAAAATTTCCTGGGTAGTTTTATAGAAATAGAGAAGAAAAAAAATCTTATCCTACTAATCAAGACAAGTTCCACTCAAGAATTAGCCCAGTCATCATTTCAATTTGATTCTTTTAACAAGCCAATATATATTCTATTTAATCCTTAAGTAGATTTAGATTTACCTAACCCAAAGCCCAGGAAGATATTCTTACCAAAATTTCCATCAAGCGCCAGTCTGCAGACATTAAATCATACTTTGAAAATAAGCAACATATTGCATAATTTGTTGGAACAATCCCTTATTTGTTCTATCTAACACTTGTCATAAACTAGCAGAATAAAAATAGTTCTCCAGGACTCCAGGGGATCTGTTAGTGCACCAAAGGAAAAACTATTAGCCCTGATGTGATCTAGCCTTTTCCTGATCAGTAAACATATTAGGAGAATCCATACCACACTAAAATAAATGGGGGCAAAATGGTATTTCATGAATTATTTTTGTAATCCTTAAAAAAAAAAAAAAACCCTCTATCTTAAGTGGTGATTATCTTTTTATTTATTTATTTTTTTGGACAGCATGCCTTTATTTGTTATGTGATATCAAACACTCTGCCACTGAGTTACAGCCCCAACCCCCTAAGTGATAATTATCTTTTAATGTAAAATGCGTCTAGGATGAGATGAATCATGAAAAAAAAGGGCAAAATATAGTTTAGTCAGAATCTCTAATATATATTCTCACCCTCTAAGCAGCATCTAAACCAGAATCCAGCACACGCTTGCTTGGCTTAGGTGGGTTTGTTTGGGTGAATCTTTTTTAGGCGGGCACTAAGCAGATAAATGGCAATACAAAAGAAAAAAAAAAAATGGACAAATGCAAGCAGTTCTTTATTATAGAAACATATAAAACAAATAAGCATTCATAATGCACATATATTATGATGGATGGGTTACTTCAAAATTGAAGGGAATAAATAGCTTGTACAAACAATGAAATTCACAAGTCTTAATGAAGCCAAGAGACTGAAATGCTATGTATTTTTGCTAAAAGTATATAAACTCCCACTTTCTTTGCTCAGCATTTTGTGCTCCTTCAGTCAACAAAATGTGACTGCTAAAACAAACAGCACAGTTATATCTGCCAATGGAAACATACTTAAAAGCTAATTAATAGTAACTGATTTTTTTGATCTAGTTCCTTTTTCTTTAGGAAAAAAAAAAAAAAAAAAAAAAAAAACAATTTTCACCTGGGCATTCAGCCTGACCTCTACAAGTGACAAAACCTTTCCAACTCCTTTGAAAGCACTCTAAACAGCCATTTCCATTTTAATAGTTGGATGTGGATTGTACCCTTCAATCTGAAAGTCTTCAACTTTGAAGTCATCGATTTTCTCAACCTTTCGAAGGATTTTGAGCTTTGGGAAAGGTCTTGGTTCTCGCTGAAGCTAAAAACAAAATCAGATCATTATTTTGCCATTTTTGTGCAACCTGCTTTTAATTCTGCTTCCCATGGCTTTTCATGGAACAAGAACACAGTATTTGGGCTGGGATTGTGGCTCAGTGGTGGAGCGCTTGTCTAACACATGCGAGGCCCTGGGTTCGATCCTCAGCACCACATAAAATAAATAAAGATATTGTGTCCAACTACAACTAAAAAAATAAATACTTTAAATACTTAAAATATTGTGTTCTTTTTTTTTTAATCAACAAAGTATTATTTTATAGGTGTCTAATACTGTGGGTGGCCCTAACCCTGGTTATACACTACTACTGCAACATACCCAATTGTTTCTGTTGCACAGATCAAGTGTAAAGGGTATCTTGTAACGATACAAAGCACCAGGTGCCTGGTAGCCCATCAGGTGTGAGTTATGGTAATTCATGGTAATTATCAACACTATTACACAGTCTTTTATTTTACTTTTCCATCTATAACTCAGTAACATGCAGTATAGTTTCTCGAGTTCCATTGTCCCTAACCCAAATGTCCCTGGCAGAAAGGGGAACAAAAGGTGGTATCTCTTGACAAGTTACAGAAAAAGGTAAGCCCGGACTCCAGTATGAGTACTTGTGGCAGTGAGGATGCAGAGGTCATGACCTCTTGTATCTGTGTCCAACACAAGTGCAGACAGCAGAGAGAAGCAGCTGAATAAACCTGTGGTCACCCTCTATTTAGGCCAAGATCCGAAAAAGGAGTAACTTACAATTTAATCTAGAATAGGATAAGAGTAAAAGTTTTTGGTTCTAAAATTATTTTTTTCTTGAGGCTCATGAAGGCACAGTCATATTTTTATTCCATTTCAAGTCATCTGTAGGTCAGTAAACCTCAGGGATTTGAACAGACTAGGCTTTTGAAAGTTCAGACCCAAGCATTGTATTTAGCATAAAATAAAGACAAAAAAAGCACTTTAATTCCCCTTCAAGTAACAATGAATTGGGAAAGCTGGGATTGTGGCTCAGTGTACAACACTTGCCTAGCATGTGTGAAGCACTGGGTTCGAGTCTCAGCACTGCATATAAATAAATAAAGATCCATCTACAACTAAAAAAATGAGTTAGGAAGGCCCCAAATTCCCTGCCCAGAGTGTGGCTCTTCCTTTCTGGTACAGGTGCTTAATGCCTTAGAGCACCTATCACATCAAGTATTACATCATCTCTGCCCACCTGCCCAACACCCTTCCCTAAACACTGGAGCATGTCCTCTCCACTCTAGCATGGCATCCCACAGAGGGTCTGTCATATAGGAATGCTCCACAAATCAACCTTTGAGTATCAAGCTTTGAAAAGTATACTAGATATCATTCTTACCTGAATTTTCAGTGGCTCAATGTGATTCAGGTAAATATGTGCATCTCCCAAAGTATGTACAAAGTCACCTGGCTAAATAAATCCCACAGAACAATCAATGTTTTTGTTTCAATCCCTTTAAACACATCACTTAAAAACACATTATAGAATATGCAGCTATCCCAAGGCTTTGGAGAAAAATAAAGAATTTAACCAGTACAGCTTTTGAGGAAAGTTAATTTAGGAAAGTTACATTATAGACAACCTGCATGAACTTAAGTTTACATATACAACAAAGGCAGGAAAGCCGGATGAAGGTTTATGAGGCAAGCCAGTTTATGTCTGTCTTATGTATATCAGATTTTAATACTAATCAGAGACTGAACTCTCCTGCTAGTTTTTCCAAATTAAAGAATCAAAGAGCTCAGTACAACAGGCTGGCTGTAAGAGCGCTTTCCTAGGGCAGCTCACCTGCAGGCCCGTGATGTGTGCAATCATGTAGGTAAGCAGGGCATAGCTGGCGATGTTGAAGGGCACGCCCAGACCCATGTCACCTGACCTCTGGTACAGCTGGCAGGACAGCTCCCCGTTCACCACGTAGAACTGGCAGAGGGCATGGCATGGAGGCAGTGCCATCAGAGGAAGATCTGAGGAACCAGCACAGAGGAGAACAAGGAGGGGTGGATGGTTTTAAAGAGCACAGCTAAGAGCAAGGTAAACCATTGGAGATCATGAAAAAAGCCATCAGGCCCTAGGGAAGTCTGCAACCCAGACCTTTTCATCATACAAAAATCAGACCATTGTCCTACCCCCTGCAGCGGTGGCCTGAAGCTGAAGATTTGTGCAGATTTGTCTATGCTGAAGCAATGTTCTCCCATTCGAGCTGAAATTAAGGTTCTATGCTATTTTTGTGGCACGAGACTGCAGATACAGGAGGAATGAGTTACTTCATTTGCAGGGACCACAGGATATTGGTGTCTTCAGCAGACCCTACTGTCTTCATTATAGATCCAAATATCCCATTCTGGGTAGACTTTATTTTTAACAATTGTGTTGTAAAAGTACTAGTGATAGTGGAGTAGTGGTGATCTGAAATGTCATCTGCTCCAAATAAAACGTTAAGATTTTATGTGTATTTTCATAGGCAATTTAAAACTCTTTTTGCAAAAAGAACAAGTATAAATGCACAAATTAAGATGCTCTGCTTTCAACCTGATGATCCGAGAATGAAAATGAATTGTGATTTGCTGAGGTTAACAACAAACCCCATGGCTGGGGCAAGCTCCCAGGGTCCCACCTCCCCGTGGTGCCTCAGCAGTGTCACATGGCTTTGCTTTGTGCTGACCATACGCTTAACAGAAAAGAGGATGACCAGGATGGTTTCACCTTTTGGGTTCCAGGCACACATGATGATCCTTCTGTCATCAGGGTTGGTTTTGATGGTGTCAATCACTTTTTGCAGTTGGTCTACTCCTTGACCAGAATAATCTATAGAATTAAGACACATACACACATTAATCACAGCCTTTCATGGGATGGCCCTGCCATTGTCTATTAACACCCTTCATTCAATGTCCCTTCTTGACCCATGGTGACAGAACTCTGCAAATTTCTCATCTCTCTCTGGGTTGAGTTTAAGGTCCTAAGTTCCTAGTCCTCTGGAGTCATAGCAACTATAAAGGGACACTAACCTACCCACATTTCCACCCAAAACTATACTGAGACTGAGCAGCTAAACAGGTTATTTCCTATAAATATAGGAAAACTCCATAATGATTACATCATCTTTCTTTTCTCCCAATCCTGTTTTCTGGAGTTTGATTCCCTGCTTTCCTTCTGAGATGGAACTGGAAGCTGAGAAGTGATTTGTTAATGGAAACCCAGAGCTTCGGACTGTCCTCTGGTTAAAATTCCAACTGATGGGAAATGTTCCAGACCAATAGTTCCCACATCTTGTGGGATAAAGGCCTCTAACTGATAACTCTGGATTGTACCAATGTTAATTTAAGTAAGAGTATTAACAGAAGCTATCACTATGGGCGGGGACAGGGTGAAGGGTACAGAGGAATTCTCTCTACATTTTTTTTTTCCAATTTCCTGTGAATCTTAATTACTTCAAAATGAAAACTCAGAATCAAAGATGACAAACTCCTCTGCTGACTTTAGCAGCCTGTACTCATCCAACTAAGTCAATACTTTTATGACTTGGCCCCTTAAGCAACACCAGGCAGGATGTAAAGCCCCATAGCCAGGGAGAAGCCTGACATCTTCAGGAAGGAGCCCTAGGTCAGCAATCACATACCAAGAAGCCACTGACCATTCACCTGCAGAAAGTCTGGCCTTGCACATGCTAGACAAGCCCTTGTTGTAACCATTTTTAAGTATGCAATTCATCAGCATTAAGTAATTCCTATTGTTGTACAACCACACAGTATCCACTTCCAGAACATTTTCATCTTTCCAAACTAAATTGCATACCCAAACACTAACTTCCCATTTTCCCCACAACCCAAGCCACCATTCTACCTTTTCCCTCTTCAAATTCACCCATTCCTAGTAGTCACAGCGTTTTTTTAATCCTTGAAACCGCCAACATCAAAAAAGGCCTTATGACTGCACATAAATGCAGACTTAGTCTTTCACTGAGGAATTAACACCAGGCCCAAATCCCTCCGGCCAGGAAACTGTTACTTCCT